CTACGTTTCACGTGGCGCAGCAAACAGTTTGAACAACATTTTCGTGATTCTTGCGAAACGAAAAGTAAAAATAACCGGACTATGTTAGGTTAAACGACATAGTCTCCATCAATCCACATAAAAAAAAAATCACAAGAACCAAACTAAAACCACTTCCTCCCCAATCTCCAGTTTTACGATTCCGCCAAACTAGAGGAAATGTTAGCCCCAGCAAAAGAAATAATAAATAAAAGAAATCCTTCACACTCCCAACTAAACTATTCCCAGATCAAGAGCCAAGACACCTTTGGATCAGCACATTCATTGGAAATCGCAAAAAACTACACCGATAACATTCCGACACTTGTTAAAACTCTTGAAGAAATCTACCCCCATCTAAATGAAAGAAGCATAAAAAACAGAATACATCGACTCTGCAAAAAGCTCACCAAACCGACTGAGACACCTGAATCGTCACATAGCTGCTCATCTGAATCCGACATCGAAATTTCATAAGAGCCATAATCTAAATTCATAGCCTCTTCAAATATGAAAACAATAATTATGAAAACAATAATACAGTGTATGGAACATAAACGGTTACTATACCCATTAAATGAACAACTCCAAATTCTCATAAATAATTTCAGCTCTGATATTATCTGCCTTCAAGAAACAAATTTCAAAAGAAATCACCAACCTACGCTAAAACATTTCAACACCTTCGTCGAAAACCACGCCAGCGGAGGAGTGGCCATTGTAATTTCGGATGCAAATATGATTCTACTGAAATCCCATTAAATTCAAACTTAGAAGAATGCCACACCACAGAAACCCAAAGACAGAAATACGGAATCAACGCAAACATAAACCTGACTTCTCAAAATGACATACAAAAAAAGTATTAAAATATCTCAAAAACATAAACTACTACATACATATCTAATGGCACCGTCGTCGCTAATGACCCTGCTGTCGATGCGACATTAAAGAAAAATAGAAGAAGAAGAAGAAGAAGAAGAAAAGTAAAAATCACAAGCTCGAAAATTTATATACATTGCACAAAGCATAAATGTCGAAACACCTGTTGATACTTATAAATAAATCGATTACATTTCGATTTTGATTTTTTTATTTCCCATCGTGTGCGTAAGTATGAATGTCATAAAGTGTCTGCGATCAATCAGAAGACAACACCGCAAATTATTAAAATACACCGTATCTTCGCACTTCGGGTTTCACTTTCTCTAGACATTTCCTCGCTTCCTTCGTTTCATCTTCTCATTCGCAACGACGACGTTACTCAAGTCTATGATTATCGTAGAAATTACAGGATTTCACCGGCGAGGTTCCGCAGCATCGAACAGAGTTTGATTAATCGTCAACGAGAGAGAGAAACAAACTTGTTCAGCTACACATTGCGCAAAAGTGTTTGAACATTTAATTTATAAATATATTACACGTGCAGAGTAGTAAAACAATAATATAGAATTTTTCACTCTGTAGTTAAATTATAATATAAAATTAATATAAAGCGTTAACATAATCTTATATAATATACAATCTTATAATAAAGTATAATATAATTTTAATATATTATTATAAAATAATATATTATAATATATTATAAAATTATAAATAATACATTATAAATTATAATAATATACTATAAAATTATAAATAAATTATAAATATATTACACGTGCAGAGTAGTAAAATAATAATATAGAATTTCTAACTCTGTAGTTAAATTATAATATAAAATTAATATAAAACATAATCTTATATAATATACAATCTTGTAATAAAGTATAATATAATCTTAATATATATTATTATAAATTAATATATTATAATATATTATAAAATTATAAAATTATAAATAATATATTATAAATTATAATAATATACTATAAAATTATAAATATATTACACGTGCAGAGTAGTAAAATAATAATATAAAATTTCTAACACTGTAGTTAAATTATAACATAAAATTAGTATAAAACGTTAAAATAATCTTAATATACATTATTATAAATTAATATATTATATTATAAAATTATAAATAATGTAAAATTATAAATAAATTAATATAAAATCTGTAGTTAAATTATATCTCGTCGAAAGTGAGCTACATAGTGGTCGAAAATATTTTATTAAACTGCAAATAGTTTTGTAGCCGCTGGAAAGTCCACTACGATTGTTAACAGGCAAAAACGTTCGAAAAGATGATTGATTCGATAATGATATCGATTCCCGCGGCGGTCACCCTTCGGCTTCGTTCCCCTATGCCCGGGGAAAAAAAATCGATATTACCCGCTTTATTTATATCCCTGCGGTGTTTCCTGCGACGATGGCGAATTAAAACGGCGAACTTCAATGTCGAATTGAAAAGTGGCGAGAGAGAAAAACGGGGCGGGAGGGAGGGCGAGGGATAAGGAATGCGACTGGTAAGAACGTCTCGCAATCTGACGCTTCTAGATTTACCTCTCTTTTCATCTGCCAAAAACTTCTACCGCCTGTCTAGGCGCTGTTGACATTCACGACCGCCTTATTACTTTAGACCATCGCTGATGCAAGATCGCGGCGCCAAGTTTTGTTCTCACCGAGTCGGGCACGAGAGTGAGCTCGCGCAAAACGCTTCTAGGGACCGTTCTAGCTTCGCACGCATAGATTTCGTGCAACGACCACCACACGCAAACGCACCGTCTGCATTTCAATTCATTTGCATGCTCGTACAACGGTCTCATTCGTTGCCGCGGATGGCTGTGCCTGGTGACACACCTTGCGTGACTAATGTACATATAGCAGTTCATCAGAAAGTATTTCGACAATTAACGTAGAAAATTTCCATGATACACATAATGTACGCAAAATGTACGTAGATCCGTAGACGAATATTTTAAAATTTCATTCAGTTACTATTGTAAGACTCTACTGTCACGAATATGTGGGTAAAGTTTGAAACAAATATATATATGTTCTATTATATATTCTATTATATTCTATTATACTCTATTATATATTTTATTATATTATATTCTATTATACTCTATTATATATTTTATTATATTATATTCTATTATACTCTATTATATATTTTATTATATTATATTCTATTATACTCTATTATATATTTTATTATATTATATTCTATTATACTCTATTATATATTTTATTATATTATATTCTATTATACTCTATTATATATTTTATTATATTATATTATATTCTCATATATTTTCTGGAGTCACTGTATATATATATATAAATCGTGTAATAAATTTAAAGAGACTTTCTGAAGTCACTGTATATATATATATATACAGAAAGTCTCTAAATTTATTGTACGATTTTTTTTAATAAAGTTTCAAGAGTTATTGACAAAATGGAAAAGAAAAGTAGGTTATTTCTCAAACAATCTTCTGAACAGCTTGGCGCGTGTGATAGAAAGACAAGGTGAATTCAAATTACACTCGCTTGTATATAAGTACTTTCGGTGTCATTGGAAACGGTACATTGGACGTAATTGGAAATGACATATTTATTGTTTTTGTTGTCTAGAATATAACGCCAATGCTCAAATTTAATTTGCGCGAGCGCAGTGATGTGTAACGCGTTCTTATTGGTACGATCACTTTCGAAAGGGTCGCTAATGTTAACAATCTCTTAACACAGGCATTCGTCGTGAGCCTCGAAACGACGCAGTAGCGTTTCAAATTCCTGATAATGATTCGTTAAAATTATCTGCCGCGTTTGAAATAGCGTGAAAGTTTGAAATTTATGGATCCGTAGATAATATCTTACGTAACGAATATTAATTATCCATTGCCGCGTTAATTCTGTCTCAATGGTTTGCGTAGAGAACAAACTGTCCGAGAAGTTATTCGAGATTAACAAATAGTGTGTCATAATAGACGAGAAACAAAATGTTTCAATGTTGTTGTACTATTTATTTACGGTCGAACTTTGTTGCTTAATAACTTTGTTGCTCAACAGATCGAAAAATCCCGAAAATGACGAAATTCGTTCGTCCGGTGAAATAATAGAACGTGCGGAATTATTTTCGTTTGCGACACGCTGCAAATTAATTATCGGCATTTACTGAAATCTAGGTAACCGTGTCAGAAATTTCTTTCGAAATGTCTGTGCGAAATCGAGTGAGAACGGTTGCCAAAACTCGTACCAAGTGTTCCTGTGCTCCCGTCTAATATATACACAGGAACGCTTTCTTCGGCGCAACAGATATATAAACCCAATTCGTCTCGTACGTCTATTCTTACGTTCATAAGGTTATTTACACTCGGTGTCTGACACCATTTTGGTAGCAAGGCACAGTACTCCGACTAAACCGGTGACCGTTCCTCTTGCTAAAAGCGCGTAAAAGCACACCACGAGAGAGAGTGAGAATCGAAGCGTCACAATTGTTCGTCACAACCGCGACGCGGTTCACCTTGACCGATAAGCTTAATTGAGAAGTTACCATCGACGCGGAATATGCGCGTAACCCTACGATGTTCAGAAGATCGTCAGAGTCCGATTAACCAACGCTTGCATAGCGAGGATGAAAGTACTTTCGGAAGGAGTTATCGTCGAGACGATTGCTCGTCCATGCGAAAACGCACGCGGACGAGATAACGGTAAAGAGTTCGATGCACGTATCATGTGTTTCGAAAACCGCGAAACAGCGGCGGCACTGCCACGCGATATCGCCTAACGAAAGAAACACACACACTGCACCGACCAATACTACTACGTAACACATAATACATCCAATAATTCGAACGATACACACACATACATATATGCATATATATATATATATATATATATCAGAGAGAACCTTGCTCACTTTGCGAAGTATCGCATTGCAATCAGCGATAGTTTTGTTTAGTATGGTTCACCATTGGATCGGTGAACCATTACACGCGAACCACGTACGCGTAAAGTAGCTGCACGGCGAACGAATCGAATATTATTTTTCGGATTATTTTTTAAAAATGATCTCGACGACTTACCGATTTCTTTCGATTATTAGACCAGTGATAACACATTTGACACATTCACCACGTCACACTTTGTATCTCTGTGAAACTTTCACCGTAAACACGCGAAACGATTAGCAACGGGGATTAGGAATTAAGGAACCGTCCGACGAAAGCGATACCGACCGTTCGAAAGGCCGTAAGGAACTGGCCAGTGGCCGCGGCACCACCACGCGATACACCGTCGTCGAGGATGCCAACAAATGTAAACATCGCTACAGCTGATCGTCGTGACATATATACATGTGTATGTACGTAAGTACGTATTTTAGTGGTTTGCCGCCCCCGCTTCAATGCTAGTCGCATCACGGACACGTGCGTATCGGAGTTTTCTGATATTAACGTATCGATTAACTCGAATTATATATACTCTTTTTATATATATATATATATATATATTTATATTGTCGCTATACTGTCATTATTTTATAATACAATTTTATTAATATCTTCAAGTAGCAACGAAGATGATAAATTATGACTATTCGTAGATATTACCAATATAAGTTTATAATACAATTGAGGACATCGGCTATTTTTAAGTACAGACGAATTCTAGACAGTTTTATATCTACGCGAATTTATCACCGTGCGAAACCTTCTAATAAAGTTGACAATAATGAGTTCAAATTTCTTGTCATTCTAGATTTACCGCCTTTAACGCGCAAGAACGTATCATAAACTTCTGGCATTTCTGAAAGTAAAATTGTATATTTGTGATGGTTCTTAGAAATCTGACGCGTTTATTGTTGCCATATTTTCGTCTACCTAATTTATTCGTTCAATAATCAGTAATGATGCATTCTTCTATTGTATGGAACATGTTGTGAACGCAACGAAAGGCCGGTGATACTACTAAGACAACAAAATGATTCTTCAGGATGAACCAATGACTAATCGGTCAAGGACTTCGTCAGCGATTTCATCGACCAGATTAGTCGAAGCAACGAGTTTCAAATTAGATACGTTCTCATGAATTGTAAGCATAGAGCTCAACAATTTGAAATAAGAAACAGACTTTTGCAATTGAACTATAATTCGGAAACTGACATATTTATTTATTTAATTACTTTATTTATTTAATTACTTTATAATTACGCATCTTAAAACATGCTGTTTGATGTCTTAATTCAATAAGATTGTTTATACATATTTCGTATTTCACAATGTGTATAAATAGAAAAAGGTCCACTCATCGTCTGAAGATTTATTACAAAAATATTTCTGCTACTTTTTTAAACTGTTTATTATATTTTAAATTTACGTATTTAAACAAATCAAATTAATATTATTAAATTAATATATACTATATATTAAATAGGTAAAAAACACAAGTACAATTTATATAAAGATATAAATATCTCTGTACATTTGTATATTATGTATCATCTATTGTAATATTAAAATATCATACGTAAATAAAAATGTAATTTTTAATATTATATATGTAATATGTATGACAGTATTGTGTGCATTATGATTATCTCTAAACAGTAAATACATAGAGATATGCATATATTTTTATTATGTATAATACAACAATATACTTCCTTAAAATAATTCAATATATAGAAATAAGGTAATTGTTACTATATTAATGCAATAATTTATTTCAATTATTCCTAGTAATATTATTTATTATATATCACATAGAAAATTATATGTATTATATAAAAACTTCTCACAAAGTATGTATATATACATCAGTGATTGAAATTTGAAATTTTTATATTAATATTCTAGCCTACAATTGATCAGCCATGTGAAATATATATAAATAAATATAAATATATATTTAAAATTGGCATTGGTTACATTTCAACATGGGTAATAATATAAATCATTTTTCAGAAAAGCAAAATCTAACAATCAATTATTTTTTCATTTGTGTGCGTATATATACATGTACATAAAATAAGTAATGGCCTTTATAACATTAATTAAAAATTTTTGTTTTTACAGATTATTGTTACTAAATATGCGTAAAATCATATGCTATTTATAAGTAATATGGCTATTTATAAGTAATAGTAACTATCACTATGATACTTGACTTGATACATATAAGGAACACACAATTGAACTAATATTTACATAAAACTAAAATCTTTAAAATATTATATCAGTTTTATCATATTTTTATTTTTTATCAAACCAAAATCATAATTTACTCTTATATAACTAAATGTGAAATTTGAAGGAATGTAAATGTATAGTATTGGTTTTATAAATTTTCTTTCTTATTATCACGCTTGAAAATTTATCTGCATTGGAAACGATTATAAATTACTTAATGTTTTAAGATAATTCTTTAAGTAAAATTCTCAAAGAGAATTCTGTTTCTTATTACTTTATAAAACTTTACGTTTTAGATAAAACATTCAAACAAAAGAACAACTATTATATAGTGGATTTGAATAATAAATTTTCTACAATCTATCTTTAACAATAATATACTAATTATTACCTTTACATATTTTGTCATGATTGAAAGAGTACCAAATATCAGCATTAAATTAAAAACCTAAGATTCAAATAAAGCTACTTTTCAATCACACATTATTATGATTGAAAATAAAAAATTAATATACTAATTATTAACAAAGAGATCTAGTATATAAATTTGTTTTATTTAAATAACAAGCAAGACATACCTTTGAAATTGTATAATAAAAATCTAAAATATTTTGAAAAATTGAAATTTCAAAATCCCAAAACTTACTCTTGAAAAAATAACTTTATAACTTTATATAAAATATAATCAACTTATTATAAACTTTATAGACATAAATTATAAAACAAATAAAGAAAATCTACTTATTGAATTGCAATAGAACATACACAATTTTTGAACGTATCCAACTTGTAGTGAAATTAATATTAATTCTATAATGTAATACTTTCTATAATGCTTTAAAATGTATAGAATATCAAAATATTTTCTTTTCTATTATACAAAAAACTTGTAGCTATATAAGATATTGAAAATCATTTAAGTAAATCAAAATTTCATCAATAAGCGTTTGATGATATATAATTATTTATGTTTTTTTGAAGCGGTTCTATACCCATACTCCATGTCACTGGTGATTCTGTATTTATAGTTACTTCAGAGCAATTGTCATATGTATTTGAAGAACTTACCAGACTACCAAATTGTAATTGTGTTTCCTTGTCTAAGAAGTGAAATATTTGTTTTCTATGATATTAAATTGATTTAAATATGTCACTATATTATTCAATACATACTCAAATTCCATTTTAAACCAGTTGTCACTATACAGTTAACAGGTGTACCAATTGGTAGTAGCCCGCACCAGCTATTGTTTTGTACCAAAATTTTAGGGATGATTATACTATGAAGACCTGGTCTTAAAATCCATGTCAATGAATTGCTTGCAAGGTGAATCACCTAATAAATATGTAAAATTTGATAGATGAAACTGAATCTTTTAAAATAAAAATAAATTATAATTAAATAAAAAACAATTACTTGTATAGATCCAATAATCTTATCACTTTTATAAAGTGTATTAATATTTCCCATAATATGATCAAATCTCCCTGAAGTATCTGCAAACACGTATATTCTATTTAACTGTAAACAATAATTTCTTTTATTATTGAATTCAAACTAATTTAAAACATTTTATAAAACATTCTATAATACCTTTACATTCTTTTTTTTAACATATTTTCCCAATTCAAACAAAGCTTTCGTATAATCTGTATGATCTTGATCAGGTGTTTTAATAATCATTGCGCCCATGCTTCTTAGCTTTTCAAGAATTAAAGGGGAGCAACTATCCATATCGCCAGTAATTAAATTTGGTACATATTCAGTATGATTTTCATTTAATAAATCAATACCTTGCTCTTCTAAGTAACGCAGCCACTTGCACGTTCCACCATCAACAGTAACATTAACCTGAGCTAAATAACATACACTTTTGATTAAATTATTATTAACAAAAACTGAAGAATTTCTTTTTTTTTTTTAAATACAAAAAACATACCTCTTTTCCAAATTTGAAGCAAAATATCATCTTTCCAATAAAGTGGACTGTTTAATATAACAACAGCATACTTATGATGCGTATGATAATTAAATATTTGAAAAGGATCCCACACTGTTGTGTCTGAGTTTGGCTCACATTGCATGATTAATTTCGATTTATGTTTTTTTAAAACTGAAAAAAATATGTATAAGTTTTAGTAATCATGTAATTTAAAGTCACATAATTTTAACTATTTAAATATTTAATATTTAATGTAATTGTAAAAGAATTGAGCAAACATTGGATTCGGTTCACTATTTTTATTATATCTTACGTAATAATTGTTGGACTCTGTTCACGATGAAACTCAGATTCAGAATACTACTTTTAAGCTTGCACATGACTTATATATGTATCCGGCATAATTATAACTTTGTATTTATAATAACTTAATTTTATATGAAAATTCAAGTGTATCGATTCATTACCACAATCACATGTTTTGGTCGTATACATAGGATGGTATCTATATTGTAAACTTTAATTAAAATTTTAATGTCATGTTTAGCAATAGTAATTTTGTTCAACAATATTAAATTGTTAAAAAATAATAAATTTATTTGTCAAATGAAACTATAGTATTATATTCATTCAATAAATCCTTTGTGTTATAGCATTCATACTTGTGTTACTACGTATTAGTATTAAACAGGTGTGCATAGTTGTGAAATAATTACAACATAATTGTATAACTAATATATAACAAATTTAAGTATTTCACTACATAAATCGAATGAATACTCATCTAATTCATATATTTTTACTTCTGTTATAACCTTATCAAATAATTTTCAAACATTATGTCGTCTAAAATTTGGATTTGGAAAAACGTTCCCGGTATTACTGGTCGATATAACGATATAATTTATTCACGTCCTGTATTATCTTCAAATCATGATGTTCTTGTATATTTTGGAGGTGATATTCAGGTATATAAGTTGCTTTGTATAGTTATAACTATATGAAATATACATGATGTAAATGATATTTATGTATATACATATAAACACATTTCAATTGTAGGACATTCAAGAAAACATGGAACACACTGATAGTAAACAATATGTAGAATGGAGTTTAGAAAATACAGCTAAAATGCTTACTATAAGCTTTCCAAAAAAACATATCCTTTTGATTCGACCATCCAGGTAATATTTAACTACGCATAAATATAAAGTATTAAAAATAACATTTAATTTTGTTATTATTATTAATTCAAATATTATTTCAAGGATATTAGGAACATTAAGTTGTTTCGATAATTTTGTACCATCAAAAGAATATGGTATACCGTTATTTTGCCCAACACATAATGCTCTGAAACATTTACAAGAATTAATTAAATCTTCGTTAAAGCAGATAAAAACATATAATATAGATAAGGTAGATTATAAATTATAAACTACAAATTCTGATTTCCAATTAAAACAGATATGTTTGTTATTTAGGAATTTCCTTATTTGAATATTGGAGGAATAACATTAATTGGCTTTAGTAAAGGTTGTGTTGTTTTAAACCAATTACTCCATGAATTTCATTATTACCAAAATAAATTACAACCTGATATTGAAATTAATAATTTCATACATCTCATTAAAAGCATGTGGTGGTTGGATGGTGGTCATGCAGGTTGTAAGGATACATGGATTGTGGAAAAATCCATACTAGAATCATTTGCAAAATTAAGTAATATCATTTATTGAATTTGAAACAATACCTTGCATTACACTAAGTATTTCACTAACTTTATATTAAAAAATTAATATATTATTTTAGGAATAGATGTTAATGTTCATGTTACACCATATCAAATTCAAGATTGTCGTCGTCCGTGGATTGGTGAAGAAGAAAGCTATTTCTGTAATATTTTACAAAGTATGAAAATTCCTATAAAACGAACTTTACACTTTGCAGATAAGACAAGAAGTTTGCAAAATCATTTTAATGTACTTAAAATTATTGGAAGTTACACATAGTAATGTTACATATCTTGTTAACGTAAGATGAAAAATATGACAATTTCTAATGTTTCATTAATTAGTTAATGATACGAAAATATATAGGCTTCTTAAATACAATATCACATTTCATAGAAGATTTGTAGAACCTCTATTAATCGAATTAAGTATAAAATCTTAATTTTGTATTTTCATGTACAATTTAAAAATAATATATTCACACAAAGAATGATATATTTATATAAAAAATAAATATTGATAATAGAGGTTCAACTATATGTTTCATAGTATTATGTTAAAATATTATTTTCACATAATAACTTAATATGTACATAAAAACTTTATAGCATATTCTTAATACCTCAATAGTAATGTAACAATGTAATATCTCAATAACTTAAGTTGTATCGTAATTTAATTTTTACACCTTTGTAGTAGCTTAAGGTGTAAAAATACCACTTCTTTAATTGTGTAATATTATAAATAATATAAATTTTAAGAAGTAATTTTCGTATAGCGTAAAACTTTATCTACAATATACAAATATTTACTTGTACAGTGATCCATACAAAATGATAATATTTCTTTGAATATTACTAGCATCTATTTGGACATTTTGTACGATAATAAGTTATACTTCCAGATTCTGAAACAATTAATAAATAATAAAGGTTTAGAAACAATTTGATATTAAATGATAAAATTCATGTAAGTTTTCTGTAATAAAAACACTTACCATTACTTAAATGTGGTAATTTAACTTCAGCCCATTCATCAGATCCATCACAACAATCGCAATATCCATCGTTAACCTTGTAAGATGGTATTTTTACTGAGTATTTGAAAACAATCGTGTTATTAAAAGCAAAATAAATATACATGATAAATGTAAATTATTAAATATACCTATAGATTGAAAAGGTGGAAGTTCACAATTGAAAACACCATTGTTACATGCATTGGTACCAGGTTCGTCGCTACCATCCAAAGGACAATCACAATAATTATCGTTAATTTTAAAAAAGTCTATTTCGTCTTTCGATGTGAAACAAACAAATTTTCCTCGCGTATTTGGCAGATATTTCGAAATATCTTGATCACGTGTACCACGTAATGATACAGTTCGACCTTCTTTATCACGAAGAAGTTTTGAATGCAATGGTTCATTCCACTTTGAATTAGCTTTACTGGAAACGATGTGATTAGATGTTCGTACAGATCCACCGATTAATTTTCCTACGATCGCTTGATTCAGTTGTTTAAAATAAATTAACTGATGAAAAACGAAAATAATGGCAACTATGAACACACAAATTAACGTGTACTTCAACTTTTTTCGCGTAAATCGACGTTTCCAAGAAATTTCGGTTTTCATGTTTGCCGATATCATTTATAATTGGAAAAACAGTTAGTATTTTTCTGTTAAATTGTTTCTTTTCTTCAATAATAATAGCTATGTACCGTTTCTTTTTCAAGCATTTGTTACATATAAACATAGATAACAAGTTTACATAAAATGTGTAATTTTCATAATCGAAGAGATCACATCACGCCATATTTACAAACAATAGATACGTAATTCTATTTCTTTTAAACACACTTAAAATTAATCTGTCACGAACTTGCGACACAAACGAAGTTGTCTTCACGTCATCGATAATTTCAATTATCGAAACAACAGTTCGAATTTCATCTCAGAAGATTCATGATTTCCTAATTGCAATATAAATTTAATTATTGATTTAATTGTTACTATAAGAATTATACATTTTTTTACAAAAAGAAAAGCTTTAATGAAAATTATTTCTAAAGCAAAGAAGAAAATATTGAGAAATGAAAATATTCAAATTTCTTAGGAATATAAGTCTATCGGAAAGATAGACGAAGGAGTGACTAATTATGGTGTTTCTATTACAACAAACTTTTAAAACGGAAAATACTTTTTTATTAAAAATTGTAAGCACATGGGAAAAGGAAATGTAAAATGTTACATTGAGAACAAATCAAGACTTATTTATGAATTTTGCGATTCAATATTAGATAAATTTTAATAAATAAGTAGTAATTTCTATCATTGTTAATGTTGAAAGTTTTTTTTTAAGCATACAAAGAAACTTTTTTTTGTAATGTTACGACTAAACCAACGGCTTGTAATTTTACAAATGCAAAAGCGAATAATCTTGTAACATATATAAAACATAGTAAACATAATATTATGTTAATGATTGCAATTTTTATAATAAAATACTGTTGCTAAACAAGAGTTTAGAATTCATTTTATCTTATATTACAATGTAGAAAAGAAGTATGTAAAAGTTGTTTTCAATAATTTGTCATAATATAAACGGATTGCAATATATTAGTACGTTTTTTTGAAGCCAATAAAGCGATTTATTATTACATTGGTCTTCCCATGCCACGACCCATTGGACCTTGTGGTCCATTGTCTTGACTGCTTTTAGGATTCTTTATAGTTTCATCAACAGATAAAATAAGACATGCTGCTTCAGTTGCAGCTGTTAGGGCATTAATTTTGACAATAGCAGGTTCCCAGACATAAGCTAACATATTATCGCCAATATCTTCAGTGTTAATATCAACACCATAAGTATGCATGCCTTTATGCTGTTTCTGTCGCAATTTATTTAAAATATTTGTTGCATCGAAACCAGCATTATCGCACAATTGTCTGAAATGAATTTCGAAATTATTATTTCTTTAAAAAATTCAAATTATAAATAATAAAATAGAGGTTGAAGATAAAACATACCTTGGAATAACCTCGAGCGCACGAGCTATTGCTCCAATTAAAAGTTGTTCCTTTCCTGCTATTACACGGGAATAGTCTCGTAATGTTTTCGAGAGTTCCATTTCAATAGCTCCACCACCAGCTACATAGGCATTTGTTTTAAATAAACGTCTAACAACCATAATAGCATCGTGCAAAGATCTTTCAGTTTCTTCTAAAAATTGTTCTGCTCCTCCACGGAGTATAAAAGTGCACGTTTTAGCACGTAATCCTTCATAGAAAAAGTTAAATCTAAAAATAATTATTTCGATATAATAATTGTTGATAGTATCTTTTAATTATAATCGATTATCTGTTACGTTTAAAATACCTTTCTCCTCCAATTTGTCTTTCTTCAAACATTTCACATCTACCAAGATCTGATTCTTTAATGTCATGTACAGTTGTTAGAATACACCCACCACATGCTTTCATCGTTCGTTTCAAGTCTTCTTCAGGAACTCTACCAGCACAAAACATATCTCGATCCGCGAAATACTGTGTAGCGACATCACCGATTGGCAATTTTGACAATACAACTTGTGCTCCACTCTTATGAATTTTATCAAGCTTGTCATATAAAATTTGCCATTCAGCGTCAACTATTTTCTGATATTCCATAACATTGTCCACACGTACTTCAGCGTTATCTCTTTCTGCTTTAAGTTCTAATTCTATATTCAATAAAGCAATCTTACAGTCTTCATATTTTTTAGGTTGCATTTCAAATCCAGCATAGGAAAATGTTTTTTTAAAAGCTACACCTTTAATTAATTCCGAGTCTTCCAATGCCCCACCAGAAACCTACATAACATATATAATAATAATTATACACATACATTTTATACATTATTTTTTAAAATAAATTTACCTTTTTAATTCCAATCATGTTAAGAGGTAACATTTCATCAAGCATCATGACAGCTTTTACAACCATATGACTAAAAAACTCCTTCTGCTGATGAATTAACTTTGAACTCATAGATGTAGCTGCACATTCTTTTAAAAGTTCTACTAATTTTGTTTGGTCAGATTTATCTATCTTTACACTCACTGTATTTATTTTTTCAATTGCTACTTGAAGTGCAAGACGAAGTGCTTTAATCATTATACGTGGATGTACTCCCTCTTCAATAAATGGTTTCATTTGTTTTAAAAATTCTCCAGCTAATAAGACTACACTTGTAGTACCATCACCAACCTATAACATAAATCATAAAATTAAGATATATATAAAATATTTGTAATAATAAATATAGTTTAATGAAATGTTTGAACATTATTGAGATAACCACATATTTTCAAGATGTTATCAGTCTATAAGTTCTCAATATATTGTCCTCTGTAAATTAATTAGTAATGCTATGCTTTAATCACATTACTGCTTTTATTTTTTACAGAGTTTATGTTTATGATATTTATATTATTTACCTCTGCATCTTGAGATTTTGCAATATCTACTAAAGTCTTTGCTGCAGGATGAACAATTTCCAAAAGTTTTAAAATGGTTGCACCATCATTTGAGATGGTTGCCTTCCCACTCTGATCAACAATGAGTTTGTCCATGCCTCGCGGACCTAAAGTAGTCCTCACAGCATCTACTACTATTTGACATGCATTTATATTTGATATTACTTGCTGTTTTCCTTGTGAGGCATCTGTGCCTTCTTTAAGTAAAATTATTTGAGGTTGCTATAAAAGAGAAAAACGTTATTAATGGTTAATAATGATTATGATGATAATAATAATAATAATAATAACGATAACAATAACAGTAATGATGTACTCTCATATATCTTCCCATTTTTTATATTTTATACATGTACATGTGCTTCTATAATGGCATCAAAAATCTAATGAGGTCTGTCAAATTTTAGCAAGACAAGTGAATTAAGAATCAATTTCTTTCTTTTGTTACTAGGTAAAATAAAATTTATCTTAAATAACATTGATCAGTTTTTATTAAAATTCTACATTCCCCCGCGCATTAATTAAATTGTTTCATGCACGTTGTGGGAGTAAGCCGAAATTAATCTCCATATAAGGTTAGACCAAGTCAACCTATAATACAATATTTTGTGCATTTTACTCTACTAGTACTCTAAGCTTAATGCTTCATTCGTACAAAATTTTTCATTATTATTAAAAACAATTGTATTTTGTTAAATCATATTAATTCGACGAAACTCTCCTCGACAAACAGCGCTTTATTACAAAATTCATGATATAAATTTAAATTCATATTTATGAATAAAAGTTTTATATTTTCTGCAACCAAAAGAAAAATTCGGCTCACAACTTACCATTTTTACAAACTATGTTATGACTTATCGGTTTTTTCTTTTTACTCCCTGGACTCGAACGAAGTTACTTTGCTAACCTCCTGCAAATGGTATTCGAGATGATTCTGCTAGGATACAAGCGTTAAGTATCGTTCACACCTAAACGGAAGTAATTCTCATCGACCAATCAAAATCTGAATTTTAAACCTATTAATGTTTGAAATAATTCAAATTTTAATTTTCGGAAATTTAGAATATAATTACGTAAGTTAGAATATGAACCAATACTTTAACACGTATAGATACAATTACTTAAATTGCGCTTTCGAACATGTCATACTTTCTAATAATGCCAGAGGGATATAATAAAATAACTTTTCAACATATTGATGCATTATTATTCTTCACAAAAGTATTCATAATCGTTTAAATAAAATTCGTATGAAATTATTATTCTTGAGTAATATTGTATATATTCTTACATTAACATCTAAATAAACTGTGACAGTGTTTTAGAAGGATAAGTTCCTTTTACGATAACTTCGATTGAAAATAGATAACATTTATCTAATATTTGTCAAAAGTGCGTTTATCTTATATTTTCTCCTACAATAATACAATTAACGTTATCATATCAAATGTATTATCGTTATAAATTTTTTAAACAAACGACAGATGGCGTTGATTTAAACAAAAAGAAGATTTTTCTCGTTCATCAAAATGACGCAGTGTCAGTCAAGAGCAGAGGGTGAGGGGTTTTGGTTTGTCACAATTCGTGACATGGCTACACGAATAGAAACGAATATCTGCTCCGACGTTTATTTTTAAACATTGTAACTATTCGCTTTTGCAAGTTTCTCGATTGCATGTGCTTTCGTATACATGTAACCGTACAACCACCTAGTTTAGGCGAACAGCCCGAGCGCCGAAGTTACTTTAGTCGTGCTAGAGCTTTCGAACGAGGCGCGCAAGTTTTTCTAAAATTTCTGTCGACAGTTAACGATACAATCTTAAACAGTGTATACCTGGTGCTGGACGATACTCTTAATTTTAAGTGTCGTCCAACGAAATCGTATAGTTGTGCACACTTTGGAACGGGATAATTTTACTGCGAAGGTAAAGAATTCAAAAATTCTCTTCAGAGAATTCGCACCTCTCGGATGTAACCCCGTAGTACCTGCCTTTTTAATCCTACGTTAATGTACGATCGCAAATGTTCCTGCGCTTATCGTCGATGAATTTCGACAATTTTTTAATTTGTATTTACATATGTTGGTATATGGGGATGGTGAGAAATTTAGGGTGTGAATTACATGAACTATGTACACAGCCGGTATCTGTACTGTACTCATTTTAAGTGTAAGATGCTGACGTTACATCGTTGCACATGCGTAAAATGACCTCCACCTAATGACGACGGACCAATGAAAAATCGATATGTTCGAAATTTTCATGCCAAAGGTTTGACTATTCTCACAGCAGTTAGTAGTGAAATCTCGAATCTGATGGGTCTTGTGTAGTAAGTAAATGGTTACACGTGTCGTCACTGTATTTATTCTGATAAGTTTCTCGGTTGAACTTGCCAAAACACTGCACAATTTTCGTAGATCTGTAATCGCGCCATTTTTATTGTTTATCACCTTTCATTGATGTTGCTGTTTCAATTATTCAACAAATTAACAGTTATTAGTAGTCATCGTAAGCATCAAATTTGAATAGTATCTGTTACGTTATATATTGAATTCTATTTATTACACTTGTAATTAAAAATTTTTAAGTTTTCATTTTCATATTCACTCGCACATATTTCTTTTTTTCTTTTTCGATAATTGACAATTATTTCGTTTTATACTCACATTTTCATTGTAACATGTAATGTAATACATGATTGTACTTAGTATATAAATAAGATTCGTCTTTTATATTTCAGTTAAGAATGAAATTGTAGATATGAATAATAAAATTGGCGTTACGTAAGAGAAATTTTGACTGTTTTGACAATGTATTTTTTACACAAAGCGCAAGAAGAAAATTACTTCTAAAATTGCCACACGAAAGGATTGACTTGAAACAAAAGGATATAGTGTAGAGTTTGCTTTAATTTTCAATGATAACAATTATACAATTTCAGCTTGGCTGGACGTGCCATATTTATCGAATAGCAGTACATCTGATAAATAATGTCGATTGTATAATTTTTCTGTGTTTTCTGTATTTTTTTTTTTTTTTTTTTACTGCATTCAAGCGTTTCCAAAATAAATATCAAACAAATTCAATTCGAACAGTTCAAGCTGAGAAAATATTTTTATACGTGCATTTGAAACTACGAATATGTCTAATGCTAGCAAGTATATTTTTAACACAATCACGTGTATATGAACGTTAATTTATATGGCCACTGAGCTGAACCTAATGCATGACGTTCAATCCTACTATGAAACGTTCATGTATGAAAATTACCTTAAAGTTCAAGGGAAGTATATACAGATAAACAGAATATCAGAAGCAAAGTAAATATTGATCGACGGGGATCGAAATAACAAGACACGTCAATTTCATGTCACGATCAAAAGTTATATCAAGTAATCGACGTAAAAAATCATAAATTATGGAAAACTTGGGAACAGTTTTTATTGGAAAGTCACGCTTATTGATTTTTTCTTTTTTTTTTTTCTCGTTACATAGTAATTTTTAATCGTTCATAGTATTTTATAAGTTTTTGTAATTATTAAAGATACGTGTTTTAAAAAGAAGGACAATTTGTATCTATTTCCAATCAAATTCTTTATACTAATTTTCAAAACAAGAAACCACAAGTAAAATCCTAAATTTGCAAAAATTCTGGTGCTTTTTAAGCGTTGCTGCAAAAGTTTCTGTTTCACTTCAAAATTTCATTTTAACAAATGCTTTGCGAGTGTCATCTATTTTTTGAAAAATCTTCGTTTGTTCGCCAGTAGTCGAACACCACGTGTGTTATGCAGGATCAATAATACAGAATATTGCACGTGTTTCACATAACTAAGTGCTACTCTTTAAAGTTGAACATAGAAAAGATTTTCTTATGGTAGAGATTAGTTAATTTCAAGTAACATTATTGTACAAGTCTATTTTAAAGTGATGACAATACCGCTATGTTTCTCAGTTAATGAGTTTACGTGTTTATACGTATAGTCTGTGAAGTATTTCGTGTTATGGGATATAAACTCATTTCCAAAATATTTAGGAAAACTAACTAACCAAGCAATTTACCACCGCAAACGTTCGAAACGCAACGAAATGCACAAAAGATGCGTTCTTACTATGTAGGACGAGGAACAACCAACAGTGGGAGAAATTTGCAAGTTATATTTCGAGCAACGATTTGTATTTACCGTGCGAGAGACGTCAAGCGATTTTGAGAAGATGAAAACCGTTTGGATAGTTGGTGGGCCAGGATGTGGCAAAGGAACACAGTGCGAACGAATCATTGCAAAATATGGATTCTATCACATAAGCAGCGGTGATCTATTGCGAGAGGAAGTTGCCAGCGGCAGTCCCAGAGGAGCTTCTTTGCAAGAAGCTATGTCCCAAGGTCTATTTGTCCCAACGGTAAACTATGTTTCACTTTATTTATGACGATGTCAGATCACTTTGTAAAATATTAGATTATTCAGAAAATTCGCAATATTTTTGTCAGTTCTTTCATTCTGTTGTATTATGTATATCGTATGATTAAATCGGAAAGTAAAAATGTATGTATTTGTATAATAATTTATAATGATAGTAATAAATTTTTTATATTTTTAATGCTCACGTTGTTTTCCAAAGCGGATGATAAGACAAAGCGGATACTTTTCATCGTACTAACTAGTTCATGAAATTTTTTATTTTCTTTTTTTTTTTTTTTTTTGTTCTATTAATCTGTTGTAATATTTAAATTTTTATATTTTAATCTTATTCTTATTTTACTCTTGCTCCTTTGCCAGAAGATTTTTAATATTTTAAGAAATCGTTTAATATAAAATTAAAGCGAGAAATCGTGCATGTATTAATAATTTTATACTAATATTAATATATTATTATAATACTAATATTATATTAATTATATTAATATATGTTAATATTAATATATTATAATACTAATATTACATTAATATTAATATATTACACGTGTATTAATAATTTTATTTAATAAATAAACAAATTCTGCTTTTTATCAGGATATTGTATTGGATCTGATAAGGGAACGAATGGAAAAGGCTAAGAAGGAAGAATCTACAAAAACTGGATTCCTTATTGATGGATATCCTCGTGAATTAGGGCAAGGTCTTCTTTTTGAAAAGAACGCAAGTATTAATGTTATTATTATAAAGTGTAAAAGATAAAAGAAGAATTAATGGATGAAATTTGACAATGAAACAAAATTTACGAAGTAAATGGAAGAAAAAACTGGGAGGGAAACGAGATTTTAAGTGTTTAATGATTTTAGGTGTGTCCAGTTGATTTAATCATTTTCTTTGATGTCTCGAACGAAACATTAGAGAAAAGGTTACTAGGGCGTGCAGCAGCAGCAGTAACGCAAAGGGCTGATGATAATCTTGAAACGATCAAAAGGAGAATTAAAATATTTAACGTGAAAAATGGAGAAATTGTTAATCACTACAAAGACAAAGTTGTAAGAGTGAGTAATTGCGCGATATATATAATTATTGGGAAATTTATAATGAAGTTTATAAAAAGAGATATTGATTTCTAAAAATGCCAAAAAATGCTATTTTTTGAACAATATAATAATATAAACAATACAATAATATAACAATACAATAATATAAATCAATTTCAATGTAGAATAGACGTAATAATGATTTGAATATTTTATACAGATCAATGCCGAAGGCAGTGTGGACGATGTATTCGCTGAAGTTTCGAAAGCGTTAGACGCTCTGTTGAAATAAAAAAAATCCCTCACATAGACCCTTGTATAAAAACGCCTAATCACTCGAGTTTTTGGAAAGTCTACAATTAAAATATAATATAAATATTATGTCGATTGAAATGCAACTTGTATAAGTTTATAAAAAAAAATTTGTTTAAAGTATTAATAGTTTGGCGAGCAATAACATATAACTAACGACAAAATGGTGCATATATGTATAATTGCAAATTTGGAGTACCTGTTCTTGTTAGCAATATATTGTACAATGGATTAAAACAGAAGTCTATTTATAAAGCAATTCGAAATATCTCGTAGAAAGTACCTGCAAATACTGATTGTTATAATATTGTTCATAATTTTAGCGATTGTTTTGAATAATAATAATTAATTCTATATTTTATGATCTTGGCAAGTTCATTTTTAAAGAGACATTTCCTTCCTCCAGTTGAACCTATATAGAAACATGTTCCAGTATAATTTATTTTAGTGTTAGATTTCAATACATGTCAATTATGTAAATTGGAATTTTGTTTCTATTGTGTACCATGTACATATCATGTTGACGTACAAGTTAATTTGCTTTATCCGACAATGCATTGTGTTTTTGTACTCAATTACTGAGAGTATGCGAGTTGTAAAAAAGAAAAAAAAATCATGCACATTCAGGCAAGCATTCAATCGAATAAGATCCTTTGGTGAATTAAAAAATGAGCAAATTAATTTTAGTTCTATCATACTTGATAGCGTGTTTAATATTAAACTTAATTATGTGCGATAATTGCTATCAGATCAATTCACGGCAATTACCACACTACAAATTAGTGAAATCTAACGCCCGTTCGAATCAATTGATACTTTCAAGAAAAATGGTCCAAAATGTGAACGAATGTAGAAACTTTGCTTCGGCCAAAAAAGCTTTGGCGTTTAATTATGGTACAGAAAATGATGATCACGGTAAGATGAGAGATGTAATTGAAAACGTAATGTTAAACATACTCACTGTTTATTGGTAATAATATGAAGGTGTATACTAGAGCTTTTATTTCTGTTCATATAGAACTGAATATTGGCAATCAGAACAAAAGAAGAACGAGGAGAATGTGCCAAGCGCTTGAATGCCCTGAAATTTACAACTTTACTACACTTGTGAAAGATAAGAATTATAAATATTACAGCACATATCCAAGCATTATACCAACTGGTAATGAAAACAAAGAATAAAAATATTGAAAATATGTTTAATAGAAATTGCTTTTAGGGTCTAACTTTACATTGGCCTGCATCCCTAAAGCAGGAATATTTGTATTTTCAAGCAATAACTTGAATTACAGCCAAGCACAAACAGCTTGCCAAAAAATAAATGCATCACTTGCTCACATAATTAGTGAGGAACGTACCAACGGGGTCGCAAAATATATTTTGCCAAACACTCCTACTTTTGTCGGGCTCAGCAACCGTAATGATGAAAAAATTTGGCAAAACGAATTTGGTGTAGTATCACATTTAAACAAAACTGATATAAAAACTGAATTTAAAAAATTTTAGTGTTTAATATTTTTCTTGCAAATTTTGAAAATTGAAATATAAAGAATTGTATAATTTTTAGGTGAATCGCTTTCATGTTTTAATTATCGAGCATGGGGAAAAGGACAACCATCACATTCAAAGGGATGTGTCACTCTTGTACAACAATTAGAATTTGGATCTTTTTGGAATGTTGTTCCTTGTAATAGCGTGTTATTTTTCATCTGTGAAATTTCGCCAATGTACAAATATTTATATAGCCAAAAAACCCAAAATTCTTAAACAAATATTAACTGTAATTTAATTATATGTACAAAAATCTATAGAGTTAAACGTATTATTCATGAAAAAATACTTGAAACAGATATATTATAACAATAAAGTAAAAAATTTTAATTATTAATTTATTTATAACATTCGAATTTTAATATAAATATGAATATAAAATATAGAAAGGATATATTGTAACATTTAATAAATAAAATATTAAAGTATATAATGAAAAGGATAAGTACATTAAAAATACAAATATCAATTATGTACAGAAGTTTAATATGTGATTACAGGTATGTTTATCACCATTAGCAGAAAAAAATTTACCTAATAAATTATTTACATTCAAACTGCTCTGGATATGTGATCAAAAAGGAAAAATATAATTCTCACTCTTTGTTGAATTATATACACGTATACAATTCTAAAACTATGTATATCTTTAAAAATTGTGCTTTTTTCATTATTTACTTATCATCTATCACATGCTTTCTAAATTGATTGCTTAACCCGGGATTACCCACCTGGGGGTCTAGCGCAGGTACATCCCGGCGACTAGACCCTCACGTGGGTAGTCCCAGGTTAATACTTAAAACCAGCAACTAAGCTGTATAAATACCTTATTTATGATTTTAGTCAGTAGTAATAATAATATATATATATATATATATATATATATACATTATAATAACAGTTTGATTATATCAAAGTTCCATTGCTTAATAACATTTAATACAAGCATTAATAATAGAATAAAATAATTAATATTTAAGATATTATGCAAATAATATACACTTAAATCAAAGAATATGTTACTTTAATATATATGTATGTTAAAATTCTCTATCAATACATATTTAGAATACTATACATTATTATTATATTTAAAAAAAATATATTATTTAATCTACAATTTCATATGCATTACGCAATGAAGATAAAATAGTCTTTACATATTCATTTCCATACACTCATTAAAATTATTAAACAATTGAAACTTTGAAAATAAAACCAAATACAATAACATGCATTGCATTTTTTTACACAAAAATCATTAGCAAAAAACAAAGATTGTAGACAAAAATAATAATATGATTTCTTTATCATATCAAAAAAAATTATAATTTATATTACATAGCATATATATAATTAATTTGAAGCAATTAATCTGCATCCTATAAATGACAAACTTTTGACATATATGCATGTTAATAACAGAAATATTAATTTTTAAATATAAAACATAAAACGGTTCAAAATATGTGCATGTGATATAAAAATATTTTATACGAAGCAAGTTTCTATCAAAATGCAAATTAATACCACACAGACATTATTATTCCATCGTTGCTTTATGTATGTAATAGTAAATAGCCTATGATCTACAACATTCGTTTCTAAAGGAAGACATTTTCCATCAAAATTATAGTACGTAAGTAATTATTTCTTAACTTAAACATATCTTTGATCTAGTTATATTTCAAATTTTAATTTCCTTATAAATTTGAAAAAAAATTATTGTGTAAAAATAGTAAAACATCATCATGAAATTGGAAAATTTTGTTATTTTTACTTAGGACTATTATTGTCACATGTTCATTTGCAAAAATTTACGAATGGAAGTCTTGATATTTCATAGAATTTCAACGTATTTTTACATAAAAATCTTACATTAATTCTTTAATTGTGATAATATATAAAAGTATAAAAGGATTTATTAATAATATTTTCTCTTATGGAATGATATCAATTACTTCCTTAAATGTGGTCAGTGTGCTAAGCTGTTTTCAGATTAAATCAATTGTGTACAAATATAATAAGTAACATAACTCTTCTGTCTTCTTCTTTTATTTTACTTTTTCTTTTTTACAGAAATACTAATGAATGTACAATAAAAATATTTGTTTGAAAATTACTTATGACTTGTATAATTATTGAAATTAAATTTAATTTAATTGCATTGCATTGTGTTCATTTACTGCATTTATTCACTGTAATGAATAAAAAATTGAATAAACTTAGCACAATATCCATATAACATAAACATATACATTATTTCCATATGTACAGTAATAGATATTATTAAAAAAAAAAAACTATGAAAAACTTTATTCAATTATTTATAAAACATCAGCATAATTTATTAAGAAATGCATACATCAAAACAATATTTTGAATTCTACTATGCAACAAATTTGTGCTTTTGCCTTGAAGCTGGGGACGGATGCTACATAAAAGATACTTTCAGATAGAATCTATTGCATTTTAAGCATGATTTTAAATTTTCTTTAATGAATTGTAGCACACTGATAATTATGATATTGCATATTTATGTAGATATTTTAAAATTTTTGATTTACATAAATCTTCTGAAGGACTTGTACTCATGGCATAATTATACAAATCTTTTTAGTAACTGAAATTATGCTACATTAATACAAATGCATCCTATATTCAATTAGTAACAACTAATTATAATAATAAGAAGAATAAGAAAGAAATTTAATATAAAAATATACAAATGAAAGTATATATATAAATCTAAAGCTATAAAAATTTAACATTTTCTAGTGTCTTTCTTCTCATATACAAAAGAAATATTTTATAATCATTTCACCCCTTAATTATGATTATATCCCATTTAAATAAGCTACATTCAGCAGAAATGTGTAAAAATTTTATATAATACTAATACTCTATATCGGATATCGTTCAAAATGTAATGACGTTATTTTTTATTTTAACTAATCATATATATAAAAGGAAACTATAAAAATCTTTAGATTAAAAATATTAACATTCTGGAGATAATGAAGATATTACAAATGAAAGGATTGTAATTAATAAGATTTATTAATTTTTTTATTAAATTAAAATATATCTATTTAGAAGAAATTTATTTAAATTTTGTATGAATATTTTGATATAAAACAAACAAAATTTATAAAACAAAAATTAGTATGTAAAATGAAATCATTACTTTCTGAAAGATATACTTATTAACAATGATATTTATAGTGACAGTGTTAGTTTCATTGGCCCTGGCACTTCAATCCTATAATCACTGCAATCTGTTTGTTTCAGACTAGAATTTTTTAGGTGATATATGTAGTATAGCTAAATTGCAAATTTATAGGAATTTACTTCAACTCATTTATGATACTGGGTGATATTTACATATTTGCACATAGCTAACATATAATCTGAAATAATGCGATTATAATTAGAGGAAACTTTATAAGACTGCTACTTTTTTTTTTTAGATAAAAGATTAAATATATTTCGTCAAATATTGATGTAAAAAATTAAATATTGTTTTGCTTGTATTTATTTCATATATCTTTAATCATCTCATTCTATACTTAAAATTTCGTTTATTTAAAAAAATAAAAAGATTTGAAATATTCAACAGTTTTGTGATTATATGGAACAAAGTTATTAATATGTAATTTTTTAAATGTATCTTGTCACTCTATTTTATTTAGGATAAAAATTATTATTCATAGTTTGCTGCCTCATTATGTGATGTAAAGTATCACAAGTATTTTATCATGTTACTTAGCACCATTTCAAGTTATATTAAACTTATTTCGTGTTAAATAGGTACATTTAATACTTTATTGAAATGTTATTTCTTGAAATTAAATAATATTAACGTTTTTATAGTAAAGTTATAAAATTATGTAAAGAAAAATTAAATATATTGGCACTTGAGTTATTTAATGAACTTAAGAATAATTAGTATTAGTACGTTGTAAATGCGAGGCAGCTTTTCAACAAAAATATAAAATGCATAGTCTTCACTGATTTAGTAATTTAAGTACAAATATATTCCTATATTTCTGAAATGCAGTTTAAAGAAATATATCAAAATGATATATTAATTTTTAAGATGTGTTGGACATGCTTTAAAATAAATCTCTATATACGTATGTATCAGGTATCCATTATTAAAATATGTTATAGGTTTACTTTAATTAAGTAATGAACTAATAATTTTTTAGTAAATATAGAAAAATTCAGAAAACGTATATCTTAAAAACTTTTAAATGTCATTAAAAGTAACATAAAAGTACTAAATAAAGTACTTATAATAAAATAAAATAAACTGTCATAAATCAAAAAAATACTTTTTTAAGTAAGGAATGATATATGAAATATTTTTCTCATTAAAATTAAATAAATACTATTACCACATTAGCGAAACAAATTAAAAATTCCGCTACTAAACAAATAAATATAAAAATTATATAATAATTATGAACTATTATTCCATTTGCTATTTGTAATGGAAAATGAAATAGCAGCATTTTACAGGAAAAAACATACTGTAGAATTTATGTTGATTAATCTGGAGTGTTGATTGTAAACGTTGAAGATGCAAGAGGTTGAACTTGTTCCAAAATTTGTCCCATTGTTTGTAATAACATTGCTTGTTTCTCTTCTAAGGCAACAACCTGTTTTGTGTAATTTTAAATTTAATTAGTAACTATAAATTGTTGTATATATATATATATATATACAATTATAAATTAATATATTTTAATATATGCAAAAAATATTTAATAACTTTAGGCTAATTTTTTACTATACTCACCCTTTCTAATAGTTGATTGTAAAGTGCAAATGGAACATAAGTAGGAGGAGTTCCAGGAGTAGACGAGACTTGTTCAAGATGTGGAGATGTGTCACATTTCTGGCTTTGACCTTTATCTTTCTGTTTACTTTCCTCACTTTCCGCTTCTAATTTATTAATACAATCGGCGACATTTGTCGTTGTTAATAGTCTGCATTAAAATTTTTGATTTACATTTTATGTATTGTTCATTAACATGAGGCACATAAATAAATTTAATATAGGGTTACCGTGAACTAGGACGTTCTTTTTTTTCTTCAGATTTATCAGTACGATCTACTGATACAATTTTTCTCCTTTCCAATTGGTTTAATTTTAATTCCTCTACCTATAAATAATAATTTTGTCATAAAATATGTTACACACGTATCTATGGATGAAATATGCTAAATTGAATTACCCAAGGTGCTTTTCTTCTTGCTTTTGCAGCCAATCCCTCAGGTTCTTCATCTCGTAATTGTTCTAATATTGTGTCTGCATTGCCGTTTGATAAACTATCTTCCTGTTATAAATAGAACATATTTTTTTTAGTCTTAGATATTATTCATATGTATTAGATACTGAAATTGAATCAAAACTAACAGATATTGTATTGCTTGTGATAACTGGTAGTCCAATGTGGCGTCGTAAGCGTTGTGACGAAGGTGGTCGTCGGTTGGGTGCTTTAGCTCGAGAAGCTGTTAAATGTGAAAGGGGTGCTCCTTCTCCTCGCTCCACACCATCTAATTCTTCACCCAGAGCTATATTGGTATTTCCATTACCATTATTAGATCCCACATCACCTACAAGGCGTTTTAAATTCGATGGAATAGGATGTCCACTTATACTTTTCCTTTCTGCACTACTTCCTCCAACTCCTGGAGAAGTTGATGTCGCAGAAGGTGCTGCTGTTGATATGATTTTCTTAGCTACATCTGCAATAAAAGTATAGTAATTTCAACTGTAATATAGTAATCAATTTTATAGTTTTAAGTTTTACATAATTTTTGTTAAAAATTAGGAAAATAAAATACCTGCATGTATGTCTTTTACATCCAAACTTTTTTTAGTATGCACTTTTCCATTTTTCTTTATTAGATGAGAATATTTTAGAGATTTCACAGGTGGTTTAAGTTTCTGTTCATGATCTTGCTGATCAGGTGGAATATTTAATACTTCAACAAAATTATCAGGAAACAAACCTACTTGACCATTTAATTCTCCTATCCACCAACCCTAGAAATTATTTCATATTCATGATACAAATATTCTTAGATTGTAAGAAACAAATAATATTCAATTTAGTAACTTGTACCTTATCAGACGCATTTGTAGATAGAAGAGTTATTATATCTCCTTCATTTAATGTCAATTCATCAATATTAGCAGCTTCATAAGGAAAAAGTACTTTACATAGTTTCTTGCTCTCTTGATCTTTGTGTTTATCAGACTCTTCATAGACTGGAGGAGAAACAAAATTTGATGGAAAAACACCAACTCTGCCTTTAAGTCTACCTCTCCACCATCCCTCTTCTACTTCACCCAAAAATTCTATAGAATCTTGGGGTACTAAAGTTAATTCATCTTTATTACATGGTTCATAATTAAAAAGCACTTTACAAAATCTTTTTTTAGATCCTCCATTTTTTAGGGAAACATCTTCAGATTTAGCACTACTAGTTCCTTCGCTTCCTCCACTCCCTGTACTTCCAACAGTTCCGCTTGATAGGGGTTCCAATACCTATATTTGATTGTTATAATATAATATACAAACTTTATACTAACATTTTTTCTACATTGGAAAATATTTCTAAGCAAATCTTATCTTATACTGAAAACATTAATGTTAAAAAAAGAAATTACCTTGACAAAATTATCAGGAAACATGCCACGTTTATCTCTTAAAGTACCTTCCCACCAGCCACCTAACATTACTTTAATTTCAGTAATAATGTCCCCTTTCTTTAAAGTTAATTCATCAGGTTCTTGTGCTTCATAGTTATATTCTACAATTGCCTCCATTTTTCTTTTTTTTTTTCTATTATCCTAACAGTAGCTTGAATTTTCTAACACATGAATATCACAACCTTGTATCTGCAAGAAATACACACCAATTTACACTGAAGACACCAAGAACATGTACAGATTTACATATAGATGTATAAACAGAGCGCACGAATGACATATAAATGACAGGGCATGGATCCTCGAGCGAGGTTACTAATTTTCTCGAGTAAAAATTTGACATGTCAATTTATTTACGTGGGCAGTTCAGTACGAGATCCTCTTATAGCAAGTTCTTGTCGCAAACGAACAGATTACTCGTTATGAAAAAAAGAAACAGAGTGAACACAGAGCGTAGCATACGTATGAGTTAAGACAAATTTGCACGTTTGCAAAAGTCATATGTCTCTGGTGCATCCTCCACCTTTCATATCACTGCACGTATTTATTATGCTCATTGTACTACAGTGTCTAAGTGATGCGTCGATGTAAACTGAAAATTTAGGCGTATCCCATATTCGGTTAACAGCTCGATATATCTGTCATCGCGGCCATCTTGGACTCTCCAAGCTCAAGTGAACTTCAAGATGCAATTTGTGTGTAAGGTGCGCATGCTAACCTATCGGTGACTCAAAGAACGCGCCAAACGTTTCATGATTCATGATTCGCTGTATGTGTGAAGCACGCCGACAGACACCACTCCGGGAGATGTTCAAGATCGTACGAAAATGATGATTCGAAAGAAAGACGCTGTTTACTGAAAGTATGATTTCACACGATCGTTGTTTCATATATACATACACGTGTATTTTACCACTGACATATTTCACCTTTTTGCAAATGTAGGTTATCTGTCTGACGTTTATCGCATTTCACGTGAATATTCACGCTCGTTTGGAAGAAAACGTTCGTTTTCGTCGTTTATTTCGAAGCGGCTGATTCATACTAATCGGTTACCACTTATAATAAAGATCGTCACGTATCGGATATGCGCAAAGCATACGAAGTTTCGTGTGTAACGTTTTAAGCCACATTTAACGAGGTCATTTTATAAAACGTCTCGTGGTAACGCTATCTGATACAACAGATAAAACAAATGTGATTTGAACGTGCAGGCGGAAACGAATTTCAAAAATGAAATATTGGATGCAATATTTAGCACTGAGTAATTGAGGAAATTCTGAGCCACAAGTTAGAAGAGTGCATTTTTATTTTTGATTGAATCAGGTATAAAATTACATAATTGCATTTGTAAACACGAAAATTTATGAAATATACATACGTATATATATATATATATATATATATATATATATATATATATATATATATATATATGTGTTCAATATCATCAACTCAAATTTTTTTGTCGGTAACAGTAAAGTGAACAAGCGATAAAGAAAATCGTAGTAAGCGGTGTAAACTGCGTAATTTTTAGTAAGTAAGCAAAATATTTTTTGAAAACAGTTTTTCAGTTTCAACTTTACGGAATTTGCATTGATATTTAAGTTAAAATTCTTCGAATAAGCAATTACCAAGATAAAACTTTATGACAAATATCATGGACATCTTAAGATCTTCATGATGAACATGAGTTAATAAATTAATATTTGCAATTAGACAATTTAATATTGGAGTTACCACGTATAAAAACATTTTCATAATTTAGTCGTATAATAAACATCGACGGGCATTTATATGTTTTTGAAAGATAATTAATTCAATTGAAGAATAATAAAAACAAGATTTTGTTAGTGAAAAGTTTCTGCTATAGAGTGCAGAAGTTCTATTGATTAATTTAAAACAAGATGTGAATTTATGAATTCTTTGTTTGCCGTATAGATTAATATAAAACATTTATCATATATTTCTAATAATGAACGTGCAATTGCATATATATATTACCTGCCTTAGAAATATATGTATTTGTATATATAAAAAATCCTTCATGTACTTACGTCTACATTTTTTTTTGATAGAAATCTCGTCTATTATTATGATCTTCGCTGATGACGAATTACAAAATAATTTCGTTTCAGTTTCGTTTCCGCGTTATCGCGTTAATCTCTGGGTTACCAAGGTGAGGATTTCAGCAGATATGTATGTGTATTTAGTGCTTATCGATAACGATTTCAAGTTTATCGATTTTTCGATGCTTTCCAAATTGTCGATCCCGGCACGGTATAAAAAGGGAAGAAAATTAAAAATCTTCAGAAGATTTCACACCTTTGCCTGTCGTGTTTTCCTCCGGTATTTTATCGACAGTGACACGAATTTGTAAAATAATTGTCGAAAATATTGATCATCGTTTTATGCGAAGTGTTTGTAGAATTTTTGAGAACGTCGCGTGGTTTTGCCCAAGTAAAAATTTCAACGGCGACTATGATAAAGGGTATAGAATGTGGCTTCTGAAGGGACTGAAGGAATTAAGATTTCTTCGTGAATGGTACAATTGTTTAAGAACAAGACAGCATTTTGGATTGATTAAAACAGATTTCTTCAAGAATAACAAAACAATATTCTACACAAAACTGAATAAATCGAATATACACAAACGATTGGTTGAACGATCCGATCACCAATGGCCGAATTTAACCATGCGCGAATGAGAATTTCATTGCATTCTCTGTTGCTCATACAATGAAAAAGTAATTGATCTCGATTTGACAATTTTGAAAATCTGACGATATATCAAATCCTACATGCCTTTAAGGCATAATATTAAACTCCGTGATATTTGTTTCCACGCGAGTTCAAGTCTTCGTTTCTCTATATTTCATTACATTTCTTTCTTTATTTAATTGTCGATAGGCATAATGAAGGCTTTATTTTGTTTATTTTTCTTTTTTTTTTTTTTTTTGCCACCATAAACGAGGAATATAATGGTCATACGTCAAGACAATGACTGTTTATCTATGTTACCTACGGAATTAATTGTGCAATACCTGCACGTGCTATTATCGTGCATCTATATTGATTACTAATGCGTTGATGCATCGCTCTAAAATATATCATATAATTCTATCATTTATATGAATATCTTTGCTATGCCGCGTACAATAATACAATTCCCCCCTCGATCTCGAACGAGTCGCGTTAACATTGTCCAATGTCATTCCTCCTCGTTATCTGCGTGCATAAATTTACGTACACACGTTTTAACGATCGATTGCGAACCGTAAAGTGCATTTTGTGCTTTCGCACGTTTGCCATCGAAGCAACGACACACTTGACCACGCTTGTGTCGATACTACCTCCTATACATTATTTAATTGTTAACTCTACAAATCGGATCCGCCGGGTGTTTTCAAAGTGATTATCAAAGCGCATTAATCGAAAGTCAATATCACGTGATTTCCGCATGCGATCTCCTTGACACACAGACGAACTTCGCATTCACTTAATGAACATTTTCAATTAATCTCTATTCTTTCGTTAGTTGCAAAAGTACTTATTATGGTTTTTATATACATATAGGGTGTTATGTAACTGATGGGAAGGTGGTGATTCTACGTGAGAAATTGAATAAAAAATTGTAATTGGAACAAAATTTTTCCATACAAAGCTTTGTTTCCGAGAAAAGTAGCTTTGAATGTTTTTGTCGAGTATGCGTACACTTGATTAAGATTCAACTCAATTATTGGAAGACGTTCCTCTTGAAACTCGAAGAAATTTAATCTACCAACAAGATGGAGTACCATCGCATTTCAGTCGTGAAATTGAGAAATTCTTTTCAAACGAAAACTGCCAATATTGGATCGGCCGCGGTCGACTTGTCGCTGTTGAATTTTTACTTATGGGGTCATGTTAAATCTATGGTGTATTCTAGCGACATAGCGAACAATAACGTTGAACAATTAAAAGAAAAGATTATTATAGCGTTTGCGACATTGAAACTGAAAAATAACACATTAGAAAATGTTCGTAGCAATTTAATAAGAGGAGCACAGTTATGCATGCAACAACGTGGACATCGTTTCCAATAATTTTCAAACTGAAAAAAAATTTGTGAAAAGTAGACATTCTAGGCCCGTATCGCGTACGAACATTAGGAATGTTCACAAATGTTAGTAGAGATAATAATGAAATCCGTTGAGTTGAATCTTGGATCGAGTGCACGCGTGCTCGATAAACTTTCAAAGCCATTTTTCTCGGAAACAAAGCTTCGTATGAAAAAATTTTATTCTATATTCTCATGTAGAATCATTACCTTCCCGCTTGTATCACCAGTTACATGACGCCTTGTATATATAATAGTTCAACTTCTCAAAAAAGAAAAAAAAAAAAATTTATTCCCATAAATATAAAATTCTCAAAATTTATTTCTATAAATTAATATTTCTGTGTTAAATTAATTCCAAGTTCTTTCTGAAATCAAATCTATAAACGTACAGAAGTATCTGTATGTCAAACGATTTTGATGCAATTGCAAATCACGCACGCTTCTCCAATAATGGAAAAGCAATGGTCCTCGGTTAATAGTGTTGGTAGTGTTCTCGTCTCTTTTGCACGTGTGCCATTTTATGATGGCAATTGCGATATTGCGCTTGAACGAAGTATCATCTCACGTGAATAAGAGTATCTAAATGCTCGAAGCAACAGAAAGATGCTGCATCAGTGTAACATCGATATCTGTTTCTTTAGGCCTTACGCGAACGTTAAGCGAGTTTATCTAATTGTAAGTGTTTGTACTGCTTGTAGTATCCGATATTAAATTTGTTGAAAATAAATAACGATTCGACCCTCGGTTGATTGTGATTAAGCCATTTAGGGCTTAAGTTACGAATGAAATCAAGAAATTTCACGCGGTATATTCCAACGTCTCAGTAAGAAAGGATGTACATTGGCAAAATTCAATTTTGTAATTTTCGAAATTACAGTGTGTTTGATACAGCTTTCGATAGCTTTGATCTTCGTCAAATTAGAAAATAATGTTACTGTTTATCACATCCGAGGGTTAATCGAAGGAAAAGTCGTTAAATTAGATAAAATAAAAATTTGACAAGTTTCCACGCGCGATTTTCCGCTTTTCTGGATACTCATTTGTACCGACATGAATGAAGAGAAGAAAAAAGAAAAAAAAAAAAAGTCTGAAAACTTTTGAAACGACGATTACGTTGTAAAGAATCAGCAGTTAGTTCGAGTAAAACTTACGAGTACAGTTGTGCAAAATTATTGCTAACAAGCAAATTGTAACACGGTATATTTCATAATACGATCGAGTTTAAAATTTTTATAAAATGTTTCTTGTACAGTTGCACCGTATGTTTCGCTGGTTAGTACGAACATCATACACCTATCGTAAAATCTATTATATGCAATCAGCCTCTTTAATTTTACATGAACGTTAATTGGTTATTATAAAGCTTAATTGATGTTTCTTATATTTCCTCCCGCAAGAAACAGTCGCGTCTCACGACATACCAGAATCTCATTTCGTTTCATTTCTTTTTTTTTAAAATCTAAATAGTCATATGTAAATTTCATTATCTACCACTTTCAAAATTGTCCCTCGACGATTCACAATAGTGAACCACGTCAAGATGTTCATTGTTCATTGCGATTGCAAATATTGTAAATAGACATTCATTTTTATATGTATATTAATGTTAATTTGTAGCTGTTTCAATAACGTCGAAAATGAAATATTCAGCTTGTGTGTTAGTACGCCACGTGAAATTCTCGCAACGTTAGATGTAAAGTACGAGTCTTTCTCTCTCATTTTAGCAATAACGCTTAGCATAGAATACAATTGTGCTGTTATTATGTATACGATTTGCGTTGCTCTACTTGTTTAACATGCGTGTTATTGTACATTAACACGCGAACGTTATGTGCGTTCAACGAACTGTTGAATTTGTCCAGGGCCTTTAAAACCATTAGAAAATGGTGCAAAACTCACGATAATATTTGCAATATGTTTTGGAATATTCATGACAAGTGTCATTGTAGATAGCAACATCGTAGACGTACATGTAATATCTTTACCTCTTTTTCCATACAAAAATCTCTTCCTTCCTTGCCTTTGCGAGGCGCGTGCCTCTCGTAGAATTTTACTCGACAAATTCCTCTGTAAAATAAGCTCTGCTTAGTTCGTGATATTTCTTCATTCGCCTCGGATAATTTAACTCGCAGTACCATTATTTATTTCCATTACATGTTTCAGACATATTTATTATTGCGGAAACTACTAACAATAAGTATCAATAAAACGAGTTTTTAATTTTGATTGATAGCACAGATGTCAATGTATCGTCCAGAAACAGATGGCATGAGCTACGGTAATGAAATCCAAATATACCTATACAGAGTATCTCGTGTGAAAATGAATTAGACGTAGCTTGTATGATAACAAGTGAAACAATTACAAACTAATCGACTAATATCTAAGTAACTAGCAAATATATCACATTTTGTTCAAATTATATCACAGGATATTTAAAATATTTTCTAGAAACTCAATTTTGTATTTATTTAATTTAATATATCTGGTAATTTGATGTAACATTATCTTCGTCTTATCATTACATCCTTGGTTCATTTATAGAATATACGAATATCAACAGTTGATAGAAAAATTCTTAAAATTATCACGAACTTTTGCCAGAGTTTATTCTACATTTACATGTAGAAATGGTGTAAATACTTTTTCCTCTTTTTTTTTTTTTCTTGTGCGCAACCGCGAAAGATAAAATCTTGTTCGGACCAAATACCTCGTATCTACCGACACTCGAAGCATATCTCGATAGTATCCTTCACAATTATAGAAACTAACACGTGCACCTCCAAGCCTCGCCAGAGGTGACGGAAGCGGAAACTGAGACGTGAGACGGTTCTTCAGTCATAACTATGTTGTTGGCCCCTTCCCTTTCGGAAGCTTCGAACAGACTCGCCTAAAATTCAAAAATTTGTTCATAAACATCGGTTATTTTCAATTTCAGTGTCAGCACGAAAAAAAAAAAAAGATTCACAATTATATTCTTCACGATCTTTTTTATCATCTCTTATGAAACTGCAAGGCGTATTCAAAAAGTTCGGAGACGCATAAACAAAGGTTCGACTGACAAAGCTTATCGCTTATATATGAGAATACCAAAGTTTGTACAGTACGATATGACATTGATCAAAACGAAATGAAATTTTAAGAAAGCGTCTGTTAAATAATTCCTTCCGTTTTCTCAAGATCGTGAAGTATCATCTATGGCGTTTTACATATGGCGTTCTTGAATTTTTGGAACTTTGTGAATCATTGATAAAAAAGAAAAAAAACGACATTAAACGCGTTAAATGTATTTCCATTGGCAAACTTGTGTAACATACATGAATGGGAATAGATTTTACACGTAGATAGAATGTATAAAAGGCAAGATTAGAAAAGAAGAGGAACAATACCCGACGTCCTCGTTGCTCTCGTATTCTTCTAGCTAAAGTGAGGAAAGCTTCCTCGATGTTTATGTTTTCCTTACAAGATACTTCGAAGAAAGGCATATCAAAATTCTCAGCTATTTTCTGCCCCCTTTCTGCGTCAACAGCCCTGTGCGCGGTAACGTCACATTTGTTGGCCGCAACTACCTTCACCACATCCGGCGAGGCGTTCTGCAAAGAGGAAAAAGAAAAAAAAAAAAGAAAAAAAAAATCAAGATCAAGATCTTGATCATTTCTATCGAATATGGGAATCCAAGTGAAAATGAAATTGACTTATCAACGAAATATTGTCTCGTATTCTTACTTCTTGAATATTTCGTAGCCAGTAGGATAAATGATTAAAACTTTCTAAGCTAGTGACGTCATACATGAGAAGAATACCCATAGCACCGCGATAATAAGCTGTTGTTAGCGCTCTGAATCGCTCTTGACCAGCAGTATCCCTTAAGAAGTCGATAATATATTAATAACAAAGACATGCTGCACAGTAGTAATTAATCACTTCATTTCTCAGGATTTTGATTATTATTTTCGAATTAGGTTTATTTTTAAGATGGCTTCTTTTAACGAAAGAGAGAATGCACATATTACAAAGAACATATTCTAGAGTAAATAGAAAAATGAAACTCACCAAATTTGAAGCTTAATTGGCGTTCCATCCAGGTTAATTATTTTTTGTTTGAAATCGATACCTGTTGATTCGTTATTCTTAAAAATCACAAAACAAGACCATTTCTTTACTAAGTATGTAATATGTATTTGTTAAGTATTATTTACGAAACTCGAGCAACAAAAACGATATAGTTATATTAGAGACGTAATTTCCTACGAGGAAACTATCCCCGTTACCAATATTAACAATAAAGATAAACGTTCCAATAATTTGATATTTTATGTTTCCATAAATCACACAAATTTCGCTTCGTTATAAAAGATAATTAGATTAGAACTTCATCAAAAATTGTATTCAAGATTTTTGTTGAACAAAACTTTTTCTCTTGCAATCAGCTGATCATATTAAACAGTTATGTTCTAAAGTATCAGCTTCTTATCGTCATAATTCAATTCCTCCAATAAAATTCACTTATAATTTCTTTCCTTAACTTACGAATAAGTACATAAATGTGAATATATGTTAGACGTTGTATTTTATATTTAAAGATTAACAGAAGAGAATAGTACGTAAAAATGAAATCCTATCAAGCGTAAGAATCTATACCGAAGAGACTGACAAAAGTAATCGCAAATACATTTTTTGGTAATGAGATTACCTACATGAAGTGAGAATATATGCTTGTCAACAAGCTACAGCTGAATCGCTACATCAGTGTGATTTACTACGATCCGTTCAAGAAATTATTCGAATGTCTGTTATCATCAATATTATTACTGTTATTGCTGCAGTAGTATTGTGAAACCATCGCAAATAGCTTATTAATTTTTAACTGCCGGAGCATGTATCGAATACGAACGCAATACACGAGGGTTTCGAAGGGTTTCTTACCTATCGTTGATATATAAGTATCGTAGTAACGTTCGTCACAATAACGGTGCACGATGCAAGTTTTCCCAACGTTCGAATCACCCAACACCAGAACCTTGTAAGTGGCTGCAAAATCGAGCGCCATGTTTGCTTTCGAATTGAACTGTTGTTGAGTTGAGAAGAGAGTCGTCGGCCGGCGGTTGTTCTTTGAATACTTGGGGGTGGAGGATCGATTCGAAGCCTGCGCTTTTCTCCATGCCGCTCTCCCTCTCGCAATCGCAACTCCACTCCTCTCGCAATTGCAACTTTTCGCCGCTCATGCGCGACGACCTCTGAACCAGAAGAAAATGCATGCAATATAACACGCTACGATTGAAAAAAACATTTTCGTTTCACTCGTATAAATATTTCCATTCATATAAGTATTCCTTTGTCACTTTGCTCGAAATGCTCTGTTCTTCTTCCAAAGAAAATGAGACTGCGATAAAATTCTTCTTTGAAAATTTCATTTTATTCACACACGTTTCATCAACCACAAAACCTTCAAACAAAATACTACATTTCGTTTACAATTCTCGTAACATTTTTCAAATGCTACATAAATTTTGTATTGATATAATTTTTACAAAAGGTGTATGTACAAAGATAAAATAAATTAAACTTCCACTTAAATCGGTACAATAAATTAGCAATTAGAAATATTATTTCGTATTTTATAGGCCGCATTATTAACAATGATCACAAATATTCGATATGCTGAGGATAAATACTGATAAGTAATTATTGTACTTTCGGTAAACATTTTTTTAAGCACTAAAAAGTTAATGAACTATATAATATATGCCGCATTTAAAAATTAATGCAATGATATATATAATAATAATGTTTGCGATATAAAGGCTTATCTTTACAAAATAAAAATCTTTGAAATATTCATTCGTTTTTAAAATATGAAATGTGAAATATAAATAGAATGATAGACTATGTAAAATAATATAAATTAAATTACTGCAATCATCATAAACAATTTTTTAATACAAATTTTTTTTTAATAAAAAATTAATACTATCAATTATTAATAATTTTTATTTTTGAATAATTTTTGAACTAATTATTTAAATGGTGTTCTTAAAAATTTTTTAAATTCTTGTTTAATGCCTATTATTATCTGTAGAATCAATTAATATATTATAATAATATTCAATAATAATCAATTAATATATTATAATAATATTGAATCAATGATATTAATGAAAATAATTTGCATTAAATGTAGGCACTTTGTTGTAGCCTTATATTCCTTAACAATAGCACTGCTTTTCAAGACTGCCAATAATTACTTTATACATTTTTGTGTCTTCTTTATAATTATTTTTATGAAATGTATTGCAAACATTATGTATGATATGTTTTTTTTGTTCATATAATTTATGATGTTTACGTTGTTCAATTAATTTATAATATATAATTCTAAATGATGCTCATTACATTTCATAATATTTAAATAAATATACAAAGCACTATGAACTATAATGTTTCAGAGTTGTCTAGTATACTAACAATCATAAAAATATATCAGTAAATTCTTGAAAACTATAAAATAATTCAATCCTTGTATCTAAACTAAACTCTACATGTATAAGTATTTATCTAAATTAAGTACACATTCATTGATGTCAAAAAATAGGTAACTAGTATACTACTTGCTTTAAAATTTATTTTAATTTTAGTTAATTCATTATTAAATTAGTTTATATCATTATGATAATTCATTATTAAATTAGTTTATATCATTATGACAAAAAACAATTTTAGAAAAACACATAATCTCATCTTTAGGCAATTGTTAACTTTTTGTCACAGTGTACATTATACTGATGTCAAAAATTATTACTTAATTAATTTTATTAATTATTCATTATTATCTAAAAGAGTAATTATAAATATATTAATTTTAATGTCTAATGTATGTTTACTGCTCTAGTAGACAAAACAAAAATAAAAGGAATGAACAACTTAAAAGAATATACTTTCTATGTATAATAAGTAACTTGTATAAACTTTTTCAAATAATATTAATGCTTTTTATTAATATCATGAAATAAAAAATTCTTTAAATATATAAAATTAATTAAGTAATAATGGTAACCATTTTTCATGAAATCTATTAAACTAAATCTAATTAAATTTACTTTCAGCATAAGTATCAGCACCGTGAAAAGTATTACAAAGGTGTATATATATATCTTTTAATAAAATTCATTTATGTATATTTTTCATAACTTTGTATAAGAAAATAAGTTAAATTAAATCATTATTTGATTTTTAAGACACTATTTGTAGGCATTATAACGGTTAAATTACAATATGGCACAAATGCATAATCCTATACATATCATCCCTAACATATAAGCTAGATCTCTTTTGATACTAGGATCTCGTTTGGTAGAACCCGGAAGATTATTTATATTTTTCCACTTAACTGCCCATAATGAAATAGCAACATGAAGAATATCTGGGATCATAAATCCAAGATCACGTACAACCTATTACATAAAAATTACTAACTGAACATTATAGTTTATATATATATATAATATATTAAATAATATTCATATATATAAATGTATATAATATACTAACGTCATATATATAAATGAATAAATTATTGCATATTTGATAATTACAATATATGATAATTAAATACTGTTACCTGATGTGCATGCCCTTCTCCTCTAAATACATTAGCAATAAACTGATCCCAACCACCTGCCACAATATGCAAAATAGCTATTGCAGCTATACCAAATGCTTTTCTATGAGTTACTGGATTTTTATTATCTGCCAGATGAATTACCAGAAAAGTAGATATCAACTCAGTGATAGAGAAAAACATCTGATGGTACCATTGGGAATAGAACTCATCATTCCAGTAATTTATATAAACCCACCAAGTATAATAATGTGAGAAAATAGCAGTTAAAAAAAGGACCATCATAGAAAACCTGAGGCGATTATGGAAAGCTAGCCATGTTAAATGTTTCACTACTTCATAGAAAGTAATAATTCCAATTACAATTGCCGTCCATATTTTAAAAGTGTTAGTTGTGGCATTGAAATACATATGTTTATAAGAAGCAATGCCAGATTCATATGATCCTGTAATATTTAATTAATACTTTTTAAATGAACTCAAATTGAAAGTAGCTTAATAAGTAGCTACATAAAATATAATGTATAAATAACATTAACTTACCCTTGAATACTGTGTCCCAACATGAGCAAGAACAATATTGTTTATCAACATCTCTTGAATATTCTTGCCAAAAGTAATACAAAAATGCAATATGCAATGGTGGAATTGTTAAAGGTGCTAAGATTCCTAATGTTTTAGAACTACAAGATGCAAAATTTGCATAAAGCATACGTTTTAATATTTTTATGAAACCCATAAGTATAAGTATAATTTTCATTAATATTTTCAGAAGTTCACAATCAGTTATGTTAAAAGAATATACATTTATGCTTATCAATCATTCCATGATTATTTCATATTAAGTAAATTTTGCTTATAATTGATATTAAATGAATAAATTACATAACATCTGCATTATCCACAATGCTTGAATAATATGTACTAAAGATTCTTTAGTATGCGTAAAAATGAGCTAATTTTATGCCTCAATCTGGTACTATTTATCTTAATACATTTTATTCGTGAAATTCTGCTCAAAAAAGCTATTACAAATCTCTCAAACTTTCATGTAATAAAATACCATAATTAGCCCAATTATAGGACAGGATTCTATAAATTCTCTGCATTATTTATAGATCTGCATACTGCTACAATATTTTTATCACTTTCATTTACATAATAATTCCTTTCATGAAAGCAGTAGCAATTAAATGACTATTTATAATAATACTGTTAATTTCATTAAGATTCTTTCCTTGCATTTAGTAACAAAATGATTATATAAATTGGGGTAACTTTCAGTCAATACATTTTGTTTCATAATCAGTCTTGCCGGTGTTCATTTATGTAAATCACATAGAATTCGAATCCTTTATCATTGTCTTTTTAAATAAAATATATTGTATAAATTAATTTTTGGTTGAATTTTTGCAACACTTCAAATGTCACATATAGTATTTCATAAAACTTTACCTTTATATTAACATGACACTATGTAAAAAATATTGAAATTGGCACAAATACGTTCAGTGACAACTACAAAATAATGTTTCCATTCTTACTCTCTATCGGTTTTATTAGACGGAGGGCTTTGCCCCTCCGAAAAAATCTTCCGCGCATGCGCAGATCTTGTTTCTATGCTAGAAACCACGTGTAAAATATATTTTGAGTATTTGAATTGTTCTATTTGAAAAAAAAAAAGGAATCTTAGATTATTAACTTAATTTAACAAAGGTAAAACATATCTATTAAATTTAAATATAAAATATGTTGTATATAACTCTCTGTATTATTTTAAATACTGTTTGAAATTTTTTCATTTAAAGTTTGGTTTAACGTTATTTCAACAATTATACGATTTGGACGTAGTGACATTAGTATTGAGGTTGACAAGAAAGGATAAAACTGGTATACTGAAGTTATTAAGGTATTTAAATATTGTTTTTCAGATCATTTATAACTTTTATCTTCAATTCCTTTTAAATGAAATTGTATATAATGGCACAGACGTATACCTCGTCTGTGATAATGGTTACTTGAAATATATGAGTTATAATAGCATATTAATAAAGAAAAGGAGATTTAATTGATTTTAATTTCATAGCTTTTTCACAAGTTTGTAATTATAGTAAGTTGGTCTAGAGTAGAGAACGTTGATCTATTTTATCGTGTATTAAATTAAGATTAAAGTTACGAGAATAGTGATGCGAATAACCTTTCTATTCTTGGAGTGTAGCATAATGTGCTTTGACACAGTTTTTAACAATGAATCTTTGTATTTTAATACATAATTTCGTACTATTTAATATTGAAAATTGATTAACCTATTCTAGTTGCATTAAAAATGAAATATTTTGTAATTCTATAAAATTTTATAAATCTTGATAAATTTATAAGGAGTTAAAGAGAATCTGTATAGTGATATTTTGTATTAAACATGTCATAACATTAAGAAAGTCAGAATTTTACATTTTGTAAATTTTTTTTTTAAATAATTTCAAAATATTATTCTCAAAAAGATTCTCAGTCTGGACTGTGTCAATAGAGTAGAAATTTTAAGTAACACTGTAGATAAAGTAAATTCATAGTTGCACATGGTAAAAAAAATAAACTAGCTTTTATTATTCGTCACTAGAGGGATACACCATTGTATTATAGTGATTATATATATATATATGTACAATATATACATGGACTTGTTACAGATTCAGATAGAAGTTTATTTAAAGTTTATCTACTGTTCCTTTCCGAAATTTTTTTTTTTTTGTTATTTATGCAGACTATTGACATTTTAGACTGGCTCGGAGAAACAAATCTTAATATATTATTTATTTTTATAATTATTTTATATTTATATTATATATTTTTTAATTATTGTTTACAAAGAATAAAGATTATTAAACTTGATATGGAAATTCTATGCATAATTATCAGCTAATAACTTTTATATTGAAATACTCCAGCCTAGCACTGAAATTTAATTCATTTAATGTTTGCAATATGTGTATTTATACTAACTGAATATTACGCAATGCAAGCTGAATATGCAGTAATCACTGAGGAACGTAGACACAACAAACGCAAAACATTTTTAAGATTAATCGGAGCGTGACTTCTTTCTATAAGATAATGAGAAATAATGAGATTTTTATTTTCTTTAATTTGCTTTTATTCGTAAATTCTTCTAATAAATGACCTATAAAAAAAATATGTTTGTACCAAATTTCGCTTTGATACTTTGAAATAAACGCTTGTATTTAGTCACTGTCGACTATCTTTTTAACTTTAACTTTTTTTTTAACTAGTTTGACTAATAATAACGTGTTTATCGTAAACGTGAGTTGCTTACACAACAAGTAAATACTAAGTAATTTCATTGTAAACATTGGCTAGGAGAACCACTGAAGAACAAAAATAGAAAATCGATATATCATTGCGACAAACCATATCGGTTCATTTTGTCAATTTCTTGAGAGATATAAGACAGAGAATGGTTGGTAGTGCAATGATAACCGATAAAGTAAACGTTGTGTTTTTACAGTTTGATTTACTGAAATGAGTTACTCAATAAATTGTAAAATAATGCAAGATATAATATATTACGAAATAATACGTATTTCTTAACTTCACTCTAAATATAAAAAGAAAAATATCTGGATCGATAATATCTACTTGAGAAGCTGATCTGGCGTACAAATACCTTTTTGCCTCTAATATGTTATTGTTAACAAAAGTCAATATTTTCTATAGTTAGACATTTTAGAATCTAATATTCTGGTTATGAGTCTTGTTAAATCTATTTCGGTGAAAGAAATAACTAAAATTGAAAGAATCATCTTGATCAAATTATTCATCCCTTTCATGTGTTTTAACAATTAAGAATTTTATAACAATTATCTAATCAATAACGAAATATATTTCGTTTAAAAATGATAAAAAATAATACGTTCTCTGTTAATAGACGCATCAATCATGTTCGTTATTGTTTGAATTCAACGTATAATACTTACGTGCGTCACTAGAGCAAATGAAGCAATTGACCTCTTCATTGGAAATAGTCGCCAATGGCAATTAATTCTTTGATATTGTTCGAAGGAATCGTGTGAAATTCTTCTGTCCGTCGGAGTCTGTATTTCTTCTAATATGTCAATATGAGACAAAAGCATCCGCGAGCATTCAAAATAAAATTAATTTCAAAAACGATTCAAATAAAATCGTAATTCGTGTGATTATACTTAAATCTTAGATGTGTCATAAAATGCTTTTAACAGTTAAATAATAATATGTAATCGTACACATATAATACATTCACACGTTCATAATCAAAGTTTAAACTTTCTTACGCATTTTTTGCACTATAGAAACAGATTATGTAAATAGACAATACGCATAAAGTGACTATATTTCTCAAAATTTTATGGCATAAAGTAGTTAAATTGATCAGATTTATCATCGTGGCAGTTACATTATTATTTTGCATTTAATGATAGTTATTAATATTAATATCGATAATTGTGATTTTTTTTTGAAAGCACGTGTATATTAACACACGTTAGATGCTGCTTAGATGAAAAATTATACTGTTGTTAATATATTGATACTGTGATACATTATTATCGTAGAAAGATTTCTCTCTGGTCGAAAACTTTTGCAAACTATTTTACGTATCATTATATAACATGTAGACATTTTTTCGTGAATACATTCTGTCTATTATTTCGTAAAGGTCATCCATAATTAACGAGCTAATCTGTATCTGAAAATCAATTAATCGCCCAAGGACATTTCGATATCAATATATTCAACTTTATTTTTTCGGTATTTCATCACTTCAGTTCTTTGTCATTCTTTTTCTTACATTTTTCATTGTCAGAGGCAGAGACTCAGCTTCATTTAAGACATGCCGATTAACAATCAATACACGTATCGAAACGGCAAACAAAGAAACATATGATAAGATAATTAGGCGCACGCATGAGCAATCGTGGTACTTCGAAATAAAGCGTTGCTCATATTAAAACAGTGTGAAGTGTTTTTCAAAACTCGTTTTGCTATTTGAGCATTAGTAATTAATGTTTATTATATTCATAAGCGAAATTTTACGACGTTTTTAATTACGACTACTTAATGATAAAACAAGAAGAAACATCGTTTATCGATAAAAATTACAGGACAATAATTGGATAAGTAACGAGTGAAGTTGTGCAAACGGTGTGCGTTATGGTAATCGTAAATACAACGTAAATGAATTGATTATGAGTTAAATGAATGCTAGTCATGATTAAACAAATTGTGATTTACGTTATTTTTTACTAGTCTAGACTAGGTCATCTGATGAATATTCATTTAACAACGCAACGTAGTTTATTGTGGAAGAGAAAAGTCGAGACGTATTAAAATGTGAAATCACTTCCGTTGTGTGCCACTGCTGAGTAAACAACGATTGAAAGTATGGTAAATTTATTCATCACGAATATTTTACATCAGCGACTATATTAAGAATCTGATCTTATTATCAAAGGTGACGAAAAAATTCAAATATTAACGATAGTAGGAAGAATTTTAAAAAAATCAGCTTGTATTTTTTCTTTGACGAAACAATTTAAACAATATATTCGTGAATAATACGATTTTTATACATACATCTATTTAGGGGGGCAAGTGTACTTTGGAGGAAAGTTTAAGTAGAAGAAAATAATATAAATGGATAGTTAAAGAAAATTGAAAATAAGTTGAAGGAAGTTAAAAAGAAAAAGAAAAAAAGAACGAGTCCATTCCTTGGTCTTGGGAGCTATTAGTATTGATTATTAAATTTTAATAATTAATATTAATAAATATATAAATTATTCATAATTATATATAGTATATCTATTAATAATTTATATATTTATATTGTTTATTTATATAATTTATATAGTATATCTATTAATAATTTATATATTTATATTGTACATTGTATGTTAATAATTTATAAATTTAATAATTATATATATATATGTGTATATATAACGAGTAATCTTAATAGATATATATATACGTATTTAATCATTGTCTGCAAGATGTATGACCTAGAGTCCTTGAAGTCAAGGTTATTCGTTGAACTTTCATACCAACGTGGACGTAGTAGATAGTAACACATTAGAGCACTTTCACTTCGAAAACTTTCCTATATATCTTCTATCTACTATCAAATGTAGTATAATCGCGCGTTATTTGCTGACACGGATAAAGTTTCCAGGTCATACGCATTCATGGCCATGTCATGAATTTGCATTTTTCATTTTTTTGTAAATATTTTCTTTACGTCCTTCCGGGAACCGTTATCCACTTATCTTGTAACAGGGAAGTATTTATTCAGCGTTCAATTTCCACTGGATAGTATTCAAGTTAAATGTACTTTTAACGATGACTTTGATACATGTACATGTGTGTGACGACTCGTCAAACAATTTATTTAAATACTAATCTTTTTTTATTTCCAGATACAACTTTTTTTTTTTAGTCGTAAAAATGGTTAAAAAAAAAAAAAAATGTTACAATGAATTGAAAATGTTAGCAGAGAGTTTTTAGC